GGATAGATGATAGATGGATAGATGGATAGATGATGATGGATAGATGGATGGATGATGGATGGATAGATGGATGGGTGGATGGATAGAGGATGGATAGATAATGGATAGGTGGGTGGATGGATTGATAGACAGATGGATGATGGATGGATGGATAGATGGATTGATAGACAGATGGATGGGTGGATGGATAGAGGATGGATAGATAATGGATAGGTGGGTGGATAGATGGTGGATGGATGGATAGATGATGGATGGATAAATGGATTGATAGACAGATGGATTGATAGATGGATGGATGGATGGATGGATGATGGAATGATGGACAGATGGATGGATGATGGATGGATGGATGATGATGGATGATGATGGATGGATGGATGGATGGATAGATGGATTGATAGACAGATGGATGATGATATGATGGATAGATGATGATGATAGATGGATGATGATGGATGGATGATGGATGATGGATTGGATAGATGATGATGGATGATGGATAATGGATAGATGGATAGATGATGATGATGGATGATGATAGATGGATTGATAGATGGATGATGGATAGATGGATAGATGATGGATAGATGATAGACAGATGGATGATAGATAGATGGATGGATAGATAGATGATTGATAGACATGGATGATGATGGATGATGGATGGATGATGATGGATGATGATGATGGATAGATGGATTGATAGACGGATGGATAGATGGATTGATAGACGATGATAGATGGATGATGAGGATGGATAGATGATGGATGATAGATGGATGATAGACGGATGGATGGATATGATGGATGGATGGATGGATAGATGATGGATGATGATGATGATGATAGACAGATGGATGGATGGATGATAGATGGATGGATGGATGGATAGATGGATGGATAGACAGATGATGATGGATGATGATGATGGATGATGGATGATGATGATGATGGATGATAGATGGATTGATAGACAGATGGATGGATAGATGGATAGATGATGATGGATGGATAGATGGATTGATAGACGGATGGATGGATGGATGGATGGATAGATGGATTGATAGACATGGATGGATGGATAGATGGATGGCTCATTACATTATAATTTGTATATCAAATCACAAGTAAAGGCGTTGGTATAATCTTGAAAATAAAGATATAAAGTGATATATCATAATATTGTCATTGGGATACTGAACATGAAATTGCAAATTGCATTTCACAATTGACGTGCAAGAAAATGTTAATTTGGAGTTAAAATTGAACCTAATCACAAAACAGAAAAGGCAGAGTTACAAAAAATTGTATTGTGCTTTGACTGAAACTAGTCATTTGAAATGTTTGGGAAATCAAAAGGAAGTTGTTGCTATATTTAGGAGTTACTGTTGTCCTGACACACACACAAAAACTTTTAGACAATAGAATGTGATTTTCAGCATTATATCATAGTCTTTCATTCTAAAGCTGTTCAGGAAAGGTTCATTTCTGTCCTGTGAATGTGACTTTAAGGATCAATACCTGCTCAAACAACTATCTAGTGTTGTACAGATACAGTAGTTTAAAGGTGCACTGTGTAGCTTTTCGATTTGGGGTGCGTCACCTGTTCCTATGTATATGTCATTGTTCTGCTTGGAATGTTCTGTAGTATGACATTAAACACATTTACCTTAAATGTATTCAATTACAGGTGGTTTTATAGCTCAAAAATACCTACAAAAACACACATATGGACTGTGGGTGTGGTTGCCTCTCCACAGATCTGACCTGTAACTTGGTCTGATTTGGTCTCCATGATGATAGAAAGGTTTAATACCATACTGTGAAACATTCCAGACAAAGCAACAACATTTCCATGGAGAAAAGCATTTGACTGGCCCTCCACCAGAAAAGTCACACAATGCACCTTTAAGTATTGATTGATGCCTGATAATGATTTTTGATACTTTTGACAACCCTGTTAGGAGTGTAGGATCCTTGTATACATGTAACTAATAATTTTACTATATGGATCTTACTAGGGCTGCTCGATTATGAAAAAAAATCATTATCACGATTATTTTGGTCAATATTGAAATCACAATTATTCAAATAATATTTTTTTTTTATTACATTGGTGCATTTATTCAGCATTTCTCTCACAAAAAAACAATTATTGATCATTTACGCAAAACTTTCAAATTGAAAATTAATATAAGCTACAAATATGAACATTAGAGCAGTTTTGCGATGTATAAAACATAAAATTAATAAAATATATTTTGAACATGAAATAAGGCATAGAAAAAACATACATGTATCCAAAATAAACTATATATCCAGCTGCTCTACAATCTCTATATTTAAAAATAAAATAAAATAAATATACTTGTTTACATAAAAAATACCCCAAAATAAACATTGTTAAGCTTTGTTTCACCTTGATTATATGAGTTTGGAGATTGTTTGACACACAAATCGAAATCGCGACCAAAATTAAATAAATTTCACAGCCTTATATCTTACATTAGCTGAAATTGCAGTGACATAATCAGTTACTCTTTTCCTCCTTAAGGCGACTTTTTACACCACGACAGAAGGTTTCATTCTCACTCTTGTCCCCCCCACCCCGACGCCCCCGTAGCTCCCGGGCTAAAAACCAAGGGGGTCCACATCAGGAGTGTAGGGGGGGCACGGTACCACGCAGTCATAGTTAATCTTCCGCCCCAGCTGTTGACTGTCCCAGGCTTGAAGCGCGACGTTTACGGCGGGCCCCTGGATGGAGGACAGGTTTTCACAGCAGGCTATGGGAAAACTGCTTTTGTCTCGCGGAAGTTATTGCCAGAGAATACAATGTGAACGCAACATGGACCAGGCCTCGTTTCTGTGAACCGCTTGAATAACTCGTGTTCACTCTCTCATGGCCTGATTGTGTCCTCACGTGTCGGCTACGAGCGTGGAGCGGCTTGGAGTTCAGATGCTGTGATGGAGAATGGAGATGTTAGTCGTGAGATGAATTCAAAATGGAGAACATGGTTGGATCTTGAGTGAACCTGGTGCCCCACTGAACTAGATTGTGTACATCTATCATCTATTATTCAACTGGTAGTATGCACAGAAGATGTATATTAAGGTTACCAGTAACAGCTGAGTTAGAGAGAATATAATGTAAGCTAAAGAAAAGTGAATAAAATAGCTAGATAATTACAAATATACATTAATTTATAGTGATGTTTCGGTCGCAAATGTTCCTGCTCTTAGGCTGAAGTGACCCAAATCCGATGTTTTTGCCCCTGTGTGACCTGTATCTGATCTTTTAATGACAGTCTGAATGATACAGATCTGATTTTTTTCAAATACAACCCAGGCCACTTGGATATGGGCTCCTAAAACTGATGCATAGCTGATTTATTTATTTATTTATTTTTTACATGTGACTTCAGTCTGAACGGTCAAGTCGCATTCATCCCACCTACACGTCAGGCTCAGAGTCTTGTCAATGGAGGGAAAGTGAGGTTAGCGAGTTCATTAATATTTGAGGGGATCACTGTATTCAGGCCAAATTGATGGGGTCTTATCAAAACAGGGCGGTTTTTGAAATGATTGCCAAAGAAATGGCCAAGCGCTGCTACAGGTGGTTCTGGCTCCAATGTCAGTGAAAAATAAATAGCCTGCGAGCCAAATTCAAGGAAGGTAAAGACTCAAACAAACGAAGCAGCCATGGAAGTGTAACTTGTTCATTTTACGAAGAACTGGACCATTTTTTAGGAGACAAGCCCAGTACTGAGGTAAACGCTGAGCACGCTCACGGTGTGTGATGTGTCCATGTGGTGTCCTCCAATGTGCCTGCGGGACACTTTTGGGGCATTTAAAGTTCACACTGGACATCACAAACAAGTCAAATTTAATTGGAAATGTGAATGACCTCGCAAAAAAATCTGACTTGAGCATTGAGCCCTGCAGTCTGAAAATAGCCTAAGAGACGGCTGTTTGAAGTGAAAGATGGAAGCTTTATTTTTTTAGAGTGCCTTTCTAGTTTTTTTTCCTTTTTTTTTTTTTTTTGTGAAAGCCACATGTGACTGGTTTGTCTAATTGAGATGGATCTTTTTATAATTTTTTTATACTTTATCATTTATTTTGTAGCACTCTGTTCAAGAGTGTGTATGGCCATGTAAAGGATAAACATTTGATGTTGTGTAGGTTTTGACATTAGTAATTCAATTTACACACACTTTTGCATTATTTTTGGTGATAAATAAATTTAAAGAAGCAGAAAATCTGAGAAAGCTGGCTCTTTAAAGTAAGCAGAGCCAAAAGAGCTGAAATTCCCATCACTATTAAACACTTTTTACATAGACAATATACAGTATATCTTGTATTCAAAGGTCCTATATTACAAACATCCTAGTGAGCTTTAAGCCATGTTAGAATGTTGTTACCTGATAGACTAATAATGCAGGATTTCTCAAACGTGTGTATGAAACAAAACACAAATTTCGTATGTTTTCTGTCTACAGCTCAAAATGCTCTGTTCCAACTTGTGATGTTATGACGCAGAAATTTTCAAGTATAGATTGTCAATTCCAGAGCTGAAATGATCCTTAGATTCTAGTGAAGGTGCATGGAGTTTAAAACACAGTGGAGCTCTTCCTGTATTACCCCATGACATCACAAGCTGGAACAGAGTTTTCTATTTGTAAGAAAAACCCTGCATATTTAGGCTGATTCGTGTGTTTAAACATGTGTGAATGAAACAAAACAAAACTCCAGGTATGTTTGTGACGAGAAAACATTATTACACGATGTTCTGATCTATGACTTTGAACCTTTTGTACACTTTAAAAGCTTGTACAAATATTTCCTGTCTTCTGTTTCGACCAAATCCTTATTCCCTCTCCCTCCTCTGCACATGTCCAGCCCACATCCACTCAGTCTTTATAATGATCTTTTTGTCAATATTGTAATGACTCTCCGTTTTATCTTAACTAAACCATCTCTCCTTTGTCTTGTCTTGTTTTCAGATCCTGGGCAGACAGTCTGAGGATTCAGTGACACCCAAAATGTCCCACAGATCATTCCTGTCCTGCAGGTAGGCGGGTGGCGCTCTGTCATTCTGGTCTCTGGGCTCTGGCATGTCCCTGTCTTGTACTGACCTCTAAATCAATGTGTTTTTTCTTTCAGTTTCCATCTTTTTCTCTGTCTCTCTCCTTCTTTCTCTCGTTTGTTTTTTCTGTCTTTCAATCTCTTTTTCTCTTTCCATCTTTCTCATTTTTCTTTCTGTGCCTCTGTCTTTCTCTCTGTCTCGCTCTTTCCATCTTTCTGTCTCTTTCAGTGTCTCCTTTTCTCTCACTCTTTCCCTCATCTTTCAGTCTTTCTTTCACTCATTCTTTCACTCTTTTTTGTCTTTCTGTATCTCTCTTGCACTTCCAAATTTCTGTGTTTTCCCCTCTGTCTTGCTCTATGTATGTCTGTTTGTCTATCTTGACTATCGTGTCTCTCTCTGTATCTGTCTGTGTCTCTCTGTCTCACTCTCTGTCTGCCTCTTTCTCTCTGCCTCTCTGTGTGTCTCTCTCTCTGTCTTTCTCTCTCTCTGCCTCTCTCCTTCTATCTCACTGTTTCTCTCTGCCTCTCTCTCACTCTGTCTCTCTGCCTCTGTCTGTCTCACTTTCACTCTCTCTCACTCTTTCACTCTGTCTCTCTCTTTCTCTCTCTTTCACTGTCTCTCTCTCTGCCTCTCTTTGCCTCTCTCTCTGTCTCTCTCACTCTCTTTCACTCTTTTTGTCTCTCTTGCTCTCTTTCACTCTGTCTGTCTCTCTCTCTCTCTCTCTCTCTCTCTCTTCTGCCTCTCTCTCTGTCTCTCTCTCTCTCTTTCTGCCTCTCTCTCTGTCTCTCTTTCAGTCTCTTTCTCTGTGTCTCTCTGTCCCTCTGTCTTTCACTCTCTCCGTCTCTCTGTCTCTCTCTTGTTTATTTGTTAATCGATCATGAACAATGCACATAACACTGACCTCTCTCTCCCTCTTCCTCCCCCTCTTTCTCTTCTCAGGCTTTAAACCATGGGAAATGCCGAGAGCCAGCAGGGGGACCATGCCTTCTACGGCACAGAGCGTGGCTACCTGTCCCGCAAGCACACCTCCCGCTCCCTCCGCGTCCCCCCGAGCCACAAACAGCCCCGCCACAACTCCTCCTCGGGCAAGATAACGCACCGCAACTCCGAGACTAGCACTCGCTCCAGCAGCACGCCGAGCATCCCGCAATCGCTGGCCGACCATGGACTGGAGCCTTTCAACGAGACCAGCCTGCTCCCCGATTTCGGCAGCCCCATTTGGGTCGACCGCGTAGCCATGAACTTGCGGCCGATGTCTTTCCACAACGACACGGCCAACGCGACCGCGGAGAAGATGCGCGCGACGATGTTAGGTCCCACGGTGGAGGGGCTGGACGAGGACATGTACGTGACGGAGGTGAAGTATCTCCAGAAAGCCAAAGAGAACGCTAGCTGCAAAAAAAGACGCTCCAAGTCGGCGGACATGTGGCGTGATGATAGCTTGGAGTTTTCGCTGTCTGATTTGAGCCAGGAGCAGCTAACGAGCCAAGAGGACTACGCGCACTGTGACGCCCGCACGCTCGCCAACCCGGATTCGGCGGACAACAGGGCGAACTCTCTGGACGAGCTGTATACAAGGAAAGCGAGCTCCCACAGGCAAGCCAAGGGTAAAAGGCACGGATCAGGTAGGGCCGCGAGGGAAGCCCCGGAGGAGAAGATGCTGTCGCCCTCAGAGGAGGAAGGGAGTGGCTACAGCGCATACACGTTGCCGTGCCGACGCTCCCACTGCCTGTCGGAGGGACGGAGGCAGCGCCAAGTGTCCATGTGCGCCAGCATGCAGGGCCGACGGGCTCAGACCATACAGGTGAGGTGGCTTCAAATCAGATGGAGTCTGTTTCATAATATTTCGTATCAAATCGACAGTGTAGTGTATCAAAATATGTATCATATCGTCAACCTCTTAATGATACCCAGCCCTAGTTGTGATGGTGCTTTGAAGGGAGAGTGACTTAACACAGAGAGCAAAGGGAGGGGGGTGCTCATAGTCCAAGCCTAGCAATAATATGATGGACAGGGGTCCCTGGACGTGGCACTGCTGCACCCACTGCTCCTTCGGAGTTGCCCCAGTGACACTGAGGGATGGGTCAAATGCAGAAGATACATTTCCCTACTAGGACAATGAATGCAAACCTTTAAATGTACTTTATAAAACATGTTAAGTTGTTTTTGGCGAGTATAGTGTTTTCAAAACAAAACAAAAAAAGTTTACATGGTCATCTAATAATGTGTTAGCAGTTAGAAGTGAAATAACAATAATACATTTTATTTATTGGGCGCCTTTCTGGACACTCAAGGTCGCCTTACAACAATAAATACAAAACATAAACAAAGTTAAATACAATTCAAAAGCATACAGTTAAAGTGGGACAGTGCAACTATGGTCTGGTGATGTGGTGGAGTGAGTAGGCCCGTCTGAATAGGTGTGTTTTCAGTTTATGTGTGTTTGAAATCCCCCCTCTTTAAACTTACTTGGTGACATCTGTGAACTGTCACATGGTTTGGCTCGTCTCCCTAATACATGCTCCATTTAACCCTAGACAGTGGACACATATGGTGTCCTGGCTTTCATTTGCATACTTTTGTTTTGTTTAATTGGCTCATGAATTAACTGGAACTCGCCTGCACCTCAACTAATCCTGCTGTTGCTTTCTCTAATTTGGCCCTTCGCTGTATTCTAAAAACATCGGCAGTATTTTCCCTATTAACCCCACCTTTAAATCTAATGAAAGAATTATATTATTTATATTACTATGTGGTTAAACCTTCTCAGGATTTTTACTGGTATTACCGTATTGCCAAAATGTTTTAGTACGACTCTGGTAAATTACGAAGCTGCACCACTGTACAGTCTATGTGTACGACCTACAGACTTATAATCTCTGAAAATTTTCACACGAACCATCTCCAATGCGATACAAGCACAGAACAGACTCACCGTCCAACCGCACATCCTCTGTCGCAGAAATAACACTCATATTCCACTGAGTCGTGCTCTTTAGTCCGACAGAAGCTGAACCGTATGAGAGCACAAATGAGCCATGTGGTTTTAAGTTTTGTTTCTGTAAAACGTAAACAAATGTGCACCTGAATACAAAATGCTGCCAAATTGGAGAAGTACTAGTATTTTTTTGGGGGGGGGACCAACTCGCTTGTGGCTGGACTTGCGTCTTGTCTTAGTCTCTCTTATGAGCGTCACGTGACAACGGAAGGAAACTAATCGAACGTCTTCTCCCCACACAGATAAAAGAAACATTATAGATACTATTAGTTTTAAATCGTGATGGCATTAAATTGAAAATACAAACACACATTCATTTGTGCTGAGCAAACAAATTTAGGTATGAGTAAATTATAATATTATATTAGGTCCTTATGCGCTGCAGATTTTTTTTTTATGATGGTAATGACACTGATACCGTTGCTACTTTTTTATACCGCCTGATACCAAAATACTGCCCAACCCTATTCCATAGTGATCCATGGGTGTATATTAGTCTATGTGCTCTTAATATTGTTCTGATACAGCTCAAAATCTTTCTAAAACTATTCAGGAAAGTTTCATTTTTTGTGTTGATGCCTGCTGAAATATGTATCTGGTTTCTATACTAGTTTTAGTTTTCTATACTTTGACAACTCTACCCTCAGTTTTAAATCTTTAGTCCCCAGTTAAAACAGTTTACTCTGCTATAACTCCTGCATTACCTCTGGTTTCGTCCGCCTGGTGACTCAGTGAAAAGCCCATGTACTTCCCTGATAGACTTGTTGTTGCTCCTGAAGTCTTGATGACCGGGGCGGGAGTGGGGGTACTGTGGTTTAAACTGACTCCCCGTTTGAAATGCCTTGGCCCCCTTTGTTATGATAATGGCATGGGGCACCCGGGGAATAGTAACAGTAAGGGGCGAGCTGGTATGGTGGCCCACTGGCTGAAGAGACCAGTGGAGCGCATGTGATTCGGTCATGTGATTACAGATAGGGAGGTCGCGGCGCTCCCCCGAACCCCCCTCCTCTCTCATCTCCCAGGAGCCTTTGGGCCATGTGGGCAGGACGGGGCAGACGCGGCGGTGCCATCGGCTGGGGTAGGCACGTACCAGAGCACAGGCTATGCTCGGAGGGTAGTGGAGGGAATAAAAGTGTGTAGATTTTGGGCAAACAAAGAAGCACAAAGCATGGATGTGGATATGCCTGATGCGGTGGTGGATTGGAGTCCTACTGTCCTGGGAACTACAAAAATGGCAGAGAAGTGAGGGATTTAAGAGGAGGCGGGGCTAGTAAACACCGGCAACATGAAGGTATGCAAATGTCAATTAAGTAGTAGTTCAGAAATATACAAGAAATTAACTTTTTACTGTTGTTCACTATGCACACAGTGTATTTGTTAGAAAAGTAGCTCAGGTGGTCATCTTTGGGTGCATTCACACTCCTCCTGTTTTCAGTCCTGTTTAGTTCTGACCTAGGCTCGATTTAGGGCCTGTTTACATGAGAACGCAGGTAAAAATGACAAAATATTTAATCGGAAGGGCCTTTCGTTTCACCGGTGACGGCGTTTTTGGGGCTGAAAATCACAAAAACTCTGAAACCACCGTCAAGAGTGGAAAAGTTGAATACGCTCCGCCGTAGCGTTTCTGTCTTACACCATGGGTCTCCAACCTGGAGCTCGGGAGCTACCAGTAGCTCTCAACCCCTTTCCAAATAGCTCACCAACGGATTTTGAAATTACCGTATTTTCGACACTATAGGGCACTCTGGATTATAAGGCGTCATTGAATGGTCTATTTTCAAACTTTTTCACATATAAACCGCAACAGACTATAAGGCGCATTAAACGAAACACAACAGTTAGATGGGTCAGTCGGACTTTGTTTGGCGCGTTCATGGTGACTCTGGGCTTTGTTCAGTTGTGGGACCGCTGGATTGTCGGCATGTTCGCAGTGACTCAGTTGTTCAGTTGTGTCTAGAAGTGGCACAATTCACTCGCTTTTTTCGGTTCGTTCCTCCGTTTCATTCCTCGTCCACGTGGAGTGATGAGTGGCTGCGGGTGTTTTTCGTTGTGCGGTCACTGTCTGTTCCATGCCTGTTTGCGTGCGCTGCGGATGGTGTGGCTTTGTAGTTTAGTGAAGTTGTACTGGGACACCAGAGTGGATTGGGGCGTCATTTTTTGGTGGGGTTGGAGGCTTATGAGCATGCCCTATGGTGCGGAAAATATGGTATACAATTTTTTGTTCTGAATAACTCAAATTTGATTGACTAAATGCCTATTTCCTTTGTTAATGTACAATTTTGATGCCTAACTTTGTGCACTGATAACTGGATAATGGGTTATATTTTATAGACATTAAATTGTACCTCGTCTTTGGCTCAAAATGCCTCTTATATTTACAACATTTCTGGCAACCACTAAAGTTAGTAGCTCTCTGGCATTTTCGTTTTACAAAAAGTAGCTCACAGGAGGAAAAAGGTTGGAGACTCCTGGTCTACACTGCCCAAGACGCAAAACTCTGGTCAGATCACTACCTAGCCACCTGGCATGCAAACCCAGTTGAATTCCACACACTTTTGATTTCATCCTGAAAACACTTGTTTAAACGCAGAATAAAAAGGGACGAATCGACACCTTTTTTGCGTCTCCTGTTCCGTCATCATATAAACGTAGCCTTAGTCTCTTTCCAATCTTGGTTTAGTTCTCGGTTAAGTACTAGTTCTAGACCTAGTTTAGAGCTACTGTTGATATAGAGTCACACCCTCCACAACCCATCTAAATCACTAGTTCCTGCTCAGACTGGGGTTTTGTCTGTTGCCCAAGGACACAACAACAGCACCTTGAATAAGGGTAGTGTCTGAATGAGATATTGGTGGTATTCTGAGATATCTCGGCCATTGCCACAGACGCATATCAGTCAGTCAGTGTGAGGGCAGCTGTGGTCACAATAATTTATCAACACAGGCAGCTGAATAAACGAATAAGTGAAGGACTTTAATTAGGGCCATCTGTCAGTGTGTTTTTGTCTCACCCGGTCTTCACCTGTGTTTTGGGTTTTGGTTTTGTGCAGTAATTATGCCATGTTGATAACTTATGCATAGCTGTAAGTGATTTTAAAAGACTCAAAAGAAAAAGTACATAGTTTTAAGTTCCATTATTATTCATCATTAATTGTCTTTGTTTCAGGACGTCACAGCTGGCGAGGGCAGCGAGTACGACGACAGCGGTGTGGATGGACTCACGCCGGACTCGGAGCACCAACCGCGGCGCTACAAGACCATGTCCGCCTCCTTCTCCACGGGTTCGGGCGGGGGGCGGGGCCTGTTCGCCGGCAGCGACAGCGGCAGCAGCAGCGGAGGTGGCGGTCCAGCAGGGGGCGACTGCGTTCAGGGCGTTTATGAGAACTTCAGACAGGAGCTGCAGATGAGCTCGTGTCAGACGGAGAGCCCAGAGGAGGGGGCCCTGAGCGACGAGCAGAGCACCCTGAGCTCCGCCTACCAGTCCGACCCGCTGCTCTCCACCGCACAGGGCATGGTGCGCAAGGCCGGGAGGTTGGCCGTCAAGAACTTCCTGGTGCATAAGAAGAACAAGAAAGTGGAGTCGGCCACCAGGCGCAAGTGGAAGAGCTACTGGGTTTCGCTCAAAGGTTTGTTTCCTGTAGATCTGCAGTCGTTTAGTCGATTGATCAGTCGATGTGCAGTCCCGTGCAGGTTGAATATAGTTTGGGTCAGATATATGGTCAGGTCGTAGTAGTTTATTTTTGTTTGTTTGTTTATACTTTTTGCCACACCCCCTTTTAGTTGGCTAATTTGTCTATAGTGCATCTCTTTTCTAGACCAAGAATTTTAGGTAATACAGTCTTTCTATTTTATGCTAAACTGACAATTTTGAGCTTTTAACATGATCTGGCCTTTACATCTTGGTTACTAGTTGTTACTCAAGCAAGTATTCTGCCGTGCTTTTTAGGTTCATACTCCTTTACCAGAAACTAACCAATTTACAGCTTAGTTTACTGCTTTTATTGTGACGTGACCTCATTAAAGCATCACTAGTATGTACTAAAGCTGTGTAAGTGCTCTTGGATTTCAGGCATTTCACCCAACATCCTAGCAACTATTGTGAAACTAACCAGTTCCAGAAAGTCCAAAAAAGTGTTGAACAAAGAGTGTTTCCAGTTAACCTTGAATAGAAAATGCTTTTAATCACAATAATGTATTAGATCCCCTAGATTAATTAATAGGAGTGTAACGATATTAAAGTTTCACGATACGATATCGTCATGGTATGAACCTCACGGTACGATATTTATTGCGAGATCGTGGGAAAGCTCACGATATGGTAACAATATCCAAATCTCTGTGTACAATGTTTTCCTGATACACATCTCACGTACGATATTTATTGTGATATTTTGTCGGGGATAAAACACTACAACTGTTAATATGCTACTTTTTCCTCTTAAAATGCCTTGACAAGACTTCAAGAATCCAAAGAACTAAGACTTAAAATTGCTTTAGAACTGTTATTTCTTCATGTAGTCTGCACTGAAATGGAGCAAAGGATCATGGTCTATGTAGTTCCCTCTGTCTTTTTTTTAGCTATTGCTGCACCGTAACTCTTAATTTAAGCAAATAAACTTGTAATTTGATATATTGTGTTGGTCCACGATATTATTGTGAGAACTTTGACAATACGATTTTACAATATTTGGGCTATCGTTACATCCGTATTAATTAAACCTTCATCAATTAGTGGACTTAAATTAATTAAATCAATGCTCTTTTTGATCCTGCACTTCTCCTCTTGGCCACAGGAGAGCAGAATTCCCTTGAGATACTTATGATGACATTGTTTTAAAATGTGTGTTCCTATTTTTATTCCTCAGGCTGCACACTGTTCTTCTATGAGACCGATGACCGCTCCGGCATTGACCACACCAGTGTCCCCAAGCACGCCGTGTGGGCAGAGAACAGCATCGTCCAGGCCGTCCCCGAGCACCCCAAGAAGGACTTTGTCTTCTGCCTCAGTAACTCTCTGGGAGACGCCTTCCTCTTCCAGGTACAGACCCATATTTACAGCCACGGTCAAAGTTTTCCTTATGACCTCTTGTATATAGCTGAGATACATTTTTATTACTTATTTTCTATTTTATTTTGACTTGTACATATACATTTATATAATTATGCCTTATTTGACCCCAGTCTCTTGCAATTTTTATTGCTACTTATTTAGAATTTAGTATTACCATTTATATTTTTTAGTCTTTGTTATTCCAAGTAATTAATTTCCCTTGTGGATCAATAAGTTTGTCCAAGCTGAGTCATACAGCTTTTAGTCACATTGCCTATATGCCATTATTATAATATGTGACCAGATTTTTATGATTCTATATTTTAGTTATTAAAAAAAAAGTCTTGTTTTTATATACTGCTTCAAAAAGTTCTTGTACCATAATTTGAACTTCATGGGGCTCACACAATATACTATACCACTTTCTGACCAATCTGGTTTAAAAAAAATAATAAAAACTTTCTTAAACATTAAGTCATTTACAGTTTTGAGAAATTGAGTACTGGAATTTCAGACTAAAGATTTAAAAAATGCTATGGATTTAAAAAAAAAAATTGTGTGATTTCGTATTCAAGCAAGGCATTTATTTATTTTGGTATGGAAAATATGGACAGATTTTGTAATTTTTTGATGAAATATGAAATATAAGTGTTGTATATTAACTTAATAATATTTCTAAAAATGGTTTATGGCACTGCAACTCTTTAAAATGTAGACTAAAATGTCAATAATGGTCTATAACAAGTCAAATGTATAAATTAATTCTCTATATATAAAACAAATGAATCCCTGTCCTGTGCCTCCTCAGACGTGCAGTCAGACAGAGCTGGAGAACTGGATCACTGCCATCCACTCGGCCTGTGCCACGGCGGTCGCTCGGCAGCACCACAGAGAGGACACGGTCAGACTGCTCCGCACGGAGATCAAACGCCTCGAACAGAAGATCGACATGGACGAGAAGATGAAGAAGATGGGAGACATGCAGCTGTCTGCGGTCACGGACACCAAGAAGAGGAAGACCATTCTGGACCAGGTACTCTACTGGAGAGCCGGTCTGACACTGTGATAGACTGTTTGTTTCATTAGTGTTAGACCATGATGAACCAAATCACTTTGAAAGAAATCTTCCAGATGTAATTTGGAATAAGTGATTGTTCACAAACTCCCTCATTAGGTAAAAAAAAAATAATAATCGTAATAGGTTGACAGAGCTCATTTGTGCTGATGGCAAATACACAGAACCTTTTTCATTTTTTTGTTTTTTCCAAAAATACCTAAATACCCAAAAATACCTACCTGCAGGCAGATGACGCATACAAGTTTGTCTCATTCTCAGGCCGACCATGCTTCCTGTGAAAGCTCAGAACCTCCAGAATTGCCTCACTAAGCTGCAGAGGCTGCACTAGCACTGATTTATGTTTGGCTAGATGCTGGGGTTTAGGTTGTGACCAGACAGATCAGAGAGAGGCATTTTAGGTTGAAATTAACTGGAACCCACTCATGTGAGGCTCATTCTGCTTTCTGATTGGATGATCATCCTAAAAAACAAATTACCAAATGAAAACAACAACTTGGCCATCATATCCAGTGTTTGTCTAATTAAGAATAATGTTAACAACAGTTAAATCAACAACTTTTGTATCTGGAGACAGATTCAATAAATTTGAAATCCAAATTCTACATATGCTACCTTTTTTTTTTAAAGACAGATTCTACAAAGTTTTTTTTTTTTTTGGAAAAGGTTAGGGCTGGGTATCATTAAGAAGTTGCTGTTACAATACATACCTCAATATATTGGCCACGATGTGATATGATACATTTCTCGATACAGTGCAGTTTTGATTCGATACGATATGTTTGAAAATTGATTTGCTACGGTTCAATAAAAAATAACGGCTAAATCATGGCTGTGATACTAAAAGTCTTTCTTAAACCACTTCTTGTGCAAAGTTCATATGAAACACACACACATTTTAATCATCAGAACAGTGAAAATCTCAAATTTGTCGCATAAACGAGTTTCCTTCCTCTTAACAAACAACAAAACTCTAGCACTGCAATAAATTGATTAGTAAAATATACAAAAAATACTCTTGGTGATATATCGATACAGCAGCCCATGATATCGATACTGTATCATCACATTAAATCACACAAAATATCGATATTTCAATTTTTTTCCGCACCCCTAGTAAAGGTACTATTTTTTTTCTTTCCCTCTGTTGTTCCTGTTTATAGTGGCAAATTCCTTCCAATGAAATCTATGCACTCACTTCGTCTCTCAGAACACTGTCAGGATTTACATTTTCATATCCAGTTCCCTCATATCTTCACGTTTTGAACACTACCTACAGTATGTATCCATTTCATTGATCGCTGCAGTAGCTTGCATGTAACAAGCCTTTACTAATTACTCCGCTTTCTCCTTTAACCCGAGCGTCCAGGAGCCCCAGATCAGCCTCTTTTGTGAGCGCACATTTAGACGGACCCCTTTGGCGCTGCTCCGTTTGGCAGCGTCAGGTTTCACATTGTGCCTGGTTGAATGCTCTTGGTCCCGGGTTCCTTGGACGGGCTCTGAGCTCCCCGTGGCCGCTCGTATTGGCCAGCGGAATTCACACCATTGTTCGCCCTCTCATCTCCCTGCAACTTGGCACAGCTACAGACCCCCTTCTACCGCAGTTCCCCGCTCTCTCTACCCCCTGAGTACCAGCGAGGAGATGGCCCACTGACTAACCACAATGCACTGCTCCACTGGCCTAGTAAACAGCTCAGCCACTCAGCCAAAAGAGGACTTCAAACTGGCAACACTTTGGTAATAGGGGGGAAAAAAAAAATGAAGATGTAAAATTTTAATGTTGTGATTTTTGTTTTTTGTTTCAGATTTTCTTGTGGGAGCAGAATCTGGAGCAGTTTCACATGGACTTGTTCAGGTTTCGCTGCTACCTCTCCAGTCTGCAGGGAGGGGAGCTGCCCAACCCAAAGCGTCTCCTGGCATTCGCTTCACGCCCGACCAAGCTGGCAATGGGACGCTTGGGGATCTTCTCAGTATCTTCCTTCCATGCACTGGTAAGTACGATAACACCTGTAGCTAAGGACTGTAATATATATGTAGAGAGTGATTCCTGTTTACAGTATTTTTCGGACTATAAGACAGTCCGGAGTAGAAGTCGCACCAGCCAACAAAAAATGTGTAATGAAGAAGAGAAAAACATAAAGAAGTTAGAACTTTTTGGGGGAAATTTATTTTATAAAATCAGAGACCAGGAACTGACATTTCATCTTGAAAGGCAAGTCACAGTAAAAACAATAGAACAGAGAACAACAGGCTGTTAACGTCACATATGAACAGTTCTTCTAATATAGCATAAACAACAGAACAAGTTTACCAAACTCTCCATCTCGCTCCAAATCACTAAATCCATTGAATTCTTCATCCTCGGTGTCACTTCTGAGCAACTCTGTGACCTCTGGAGGTAAACAGAGCGCCGCTTCCTCTTCTGTGTAGCTGTCGTCAGACTCAGCATCAGTTCCACTTAGAATTATTCCGGCCTTTCTGAATCCTGACAGGATGGTTTCAGTTGTCCAGGCTTTGTCGATCCAGCCAACTTCCAGGAAAGCTGCACTGTGCACCCTCCTGGTTGCCGTGAAGCTGTTTTCTCTATGTCTGCTCTCTGCCAGTCCCTCGCAAGTTTCTCACTCACTCCAGACTTTTTTTCTGCTGCTCGATTACCTTTTTTCGGCTGCTTGCAGCAGGACAGGACTTTCTGTAGGAGACATGCTCAGTAGAGCGAAGTGAGAGTGGTACAGGAGTAATAGGAGCAGCAGATGCTGGCACACAGGCTGGGGTATAAGTCGCAGGACCACCCAAACCAGGAAAAAAACTGCAACTTATAGTCCAAAAAATACAGTACTTACAAAGTGACTACTAAAGGTGCATTGTGTAACTTTTCTCATGATTCCTTTGTCTGGAATGTTTCTCAGTATGGTATTAAAACTTTCTATCTTTATGGAGACCAAACCAAACCAACTTACAGGTCAGATCTGTGGAGAGGTAACCCAGGTCACAGTCAAAATGCCTGTTTTTAAAGTATTTTTTAGCTATAAAACCACCTGCTATTGAATAAAAGTAAGGTAGAGCTGTTTAATGCCATAGTGTGGAACTTTCCAGGCAGAGCAGTGACAGACCCCGAAACAAAAAATTACACAGTGCACCTTAAATGTTTGGAAATGAGCTAGTATTATCCCAAGTTACATTAATTTATGGCTGTTTATTGACCGGTCGTTAAATACAGAGTGGTGGCTGTGGTGTAGTTGCCTGAGCAATGGTCTGTGAACTAGAAGATCTCCGGTTTAGTTCTTGCTTGACCACATATTATAGGTGTACCTGAAGCTAAAGGCTGTAATATACAAGGTGACTATTAAGTCTATTGCTTTACACCTGCACAACACTGTGTTACAGGTTATGGAAGATACAGAAGAATTTAATGCCTGTAAAAAAAATTACAAAGAAAATGTATCTCAATAGTTGTTTTTTCTTTAGCAAGTTATTCTGCAGAAGTGGTTTTGTGTAAAATATATATTAGTTTTTTTATTTTATGTAAAGAGGGCGTAGTCAAATGAGGTTCATTTGGTCAGCTTTCTGCCTTATAACGTTTTCCCTGGTTTTGAACGTCATCCATGGATGTTTGAGCGATTTGGCGATCTCTCACAGACACTATTCAAACCATCCTTACCGTTAGTTGTACAAGCAGATGTCACTTGTACAAGGCTCCGCCCTCAAGCCAACGCCATACTTACATTAAATATGTTATATGTTCACAATTAATTCCCCCTGGAAGTGTAAATTACAGTAAATTACAATTAATTTACTGCAATTGTAAGTGGCTTACACTTACGCTTACTTAGTGTTTATTTACCAAACATTAACAGGGTAGCTGCGGGGTCGCAAGTCTTCAAAAGATCTTAAATTTCATGTTCATAAATTAAGGCCTTAAAAAGTCTTAAATTCTGTTGACCAAGTCTTATTTATTTTCACAAAGGTCTTAAATTTCATTAGCCTATTTTTTTTGTATACTCAGTTGGACTGCAATGTTAAATGGAGGGAGGAAAAAAACAACACGAAATGACGTAACATGAATGAACGTTTAATTTGAAGTATGCACAAACAATACTTAATCTTGTTAGAATGTTATAAATGATTTTTTTGGCCATTTACAAGCAATGCATACGACTATAAATTAGTTCTGAATGAGATTTTATAGTAAAAGTACTTTTTGTTATGTAAAGCAGTGAGCAATGGTCATTATTTGAATTGGATTTGGTGTTTTTCGCCCCAAATAATGGGTGCAATGTTTGTCTTAATTTTCATTTTTTAAGTGTTTGTAAAAAGCTCTTAAAGTCTTATTTGGGGTAGTCAAAACCGGGGATACCCTGATTAAGTGCAGATCAGTTTAGAATCCAGCACAGTACTTTGTCTATCAATGGATTTCTAGTTGAAAAATTGGCCTGGCAAGTAACTAAAAACTAATAAAAAAAAAAACAGTTTCACTTACATTTGTTATATTCATATAAACCAAATGGATATATTAAATTTACTACATATAAAAATGTAATATCAGCTTTTTAACAAGCTCTAAAAATGTCTAGGTTTAAGACTTTAACTCTGGTCACAATAAAAAGGATGTGAATCTTTAAAATATTCTCAGATTCGGCAATAAAGCATGATAATTTTCCTCTCATGCCACTAGGTGTCCCTCTACCACTGATTTATGAACTCTTTCACACTTTAATCATCAAACAATCACGTACGATATTACCTAGCAAATCTTTAAGACTCTTTTCATCGTTTCCCATGGCAACCAGGCTGACATGACCCCTCCGTGACCTCCGCAGCTCACATGACCCCGAGCACAGCTGTGTGTATTTGCGACGGGAAGAACAATTGATTTTCTAAAATGAAGGCGTGCGGTGTCAGGGCAGGTTTTCCGAGATGTCTGTTGTTCCGGACCTGAGGCGAGCTTTGTCCCTGGACTCCCACAGCTTCCATTGAGCTGGGTCTAAAAGTACTGGAAGAACAGGAGCCATTTGATATTCAGCTGCTCTATTGATGTCCAGTATGCTCGCTTTCTCTCTCTATCTCTCTATCTATCTCTCTATCCATCTCTCCCTCTTTGCCGACACACAGGCAGCGAGTGGGCGTTTGAGCGGCTGCAGGAGAGAGGGGGAGAGAGGTAGAGAGATTTTTATTTTTGAATCGGTCAGATAAGAGTTATGAGAGAAACTGGAAAGAAAATATTGCTTGTAGTTATGTAATTTTTCGTGCTTTTTTTAAATTAAAAGGTGCACTACGTAACTTTTCTGGTAGTGCGTGTGCTGCATTCTTGACTCCGTGGAGATGTTTGCCTAAAATGTTCCACGATGCGGCATTTTATCCAGCTATTACTATTAAATGTGTTGTTTTTGCTAAAAATACGATGGAAGAACATTCTTACAGTGAGTGGAGTCCCCTCGCCACAGATCTGACCTGTAACTTGTTCCCACGGTCATGGAAATCCTGGAAAAGTCATGGAATTTTAGTACCTCTTTCACGCAACTGAACTTATTAGGCGATTATAATTATTTCTGAATGTACATGCTTTTGGTTTAAAAAAAAGACGACAATAAATGCACTGACACTATTTTGAATGTTAAACTATAATCCCAAAACATAAGGTGAGTGGAATGGGTTAACATTTCATATTTAGCCCTAAAAGTCTGATCAATTCTACACATGTAGGTGCTGTAAAGTCATGGAAAATTCACTTTAGGTCATGAAAAAGTCTTGGAAAAGTTTAAAAATTTTGTCAGTGAAAAAGAGTGGGAACCCTGCCTTGAAGATGAGTTGGTTTAATGCCGTATTGTGGAACGTTCTATGTAAAGCTTTAATATAACTCTATGGAGAGAAATATGTGGTGGGTTCTCTACCAGAAAAGCTACATAGTGAACTTTTAAAGGTCCTATGTTTCACTGTTTCCCAAACTTTTTTTCTGGGGACCCATATTTTAAAAGTCACAAACCTTTGCGACCCAAGTCAATAGACATTATTCATAAATCACAAAATAAAGGTGGATTTGACCATTATAGGACATTAATGAGGATATTTTATTGTTGACTGAGTGATCGTGTTTATTACTCAAGTTTTAAACAATAAAAAACAGTGATTGAAGAAGAAATAAAAGGAATCCATAAGTCGCCTATTTAAGTCTTTATTTATATAGGGCTTTTCACAGACATTTGTCACAAAGACGCTTTGTTACCTCATTAGAAACATACCTGGACTTGTTTTGTTTTCACACGTGTTTGAGTAATCTTAATTTATTAGTGTGTCTAAATCTCTAGAGCTCAAAATGCTCCGTTCCACCTTGTGATGTCATGAAACGATTAAGTTAAATACCTTTTAGCTTTTGATCAGTACAGATTGCCACTTCCAGGGCTGAAATTATCCAAATGATTCTGGTGAAGGTGTATGGAGGTTAAAAACACAGTGGAGCACCTCCTGTATTACCACATGACATAAGGTGGAACAAATATGCAGGATTTGTGTGTTAAACTTGTGTGAATGAAACAAAGCACAACTTCAGGTAGGTTTTTGATGAAGTAACAACATTATAACATATCAGAAAATTGTGTAATATGGGCTATTTAATGTTTGAAAATGAACTAATATCCTAATTTTCGATCACTGATCATTCGATCATTTATGAATATTTACTGATTGGAGATTAAATACAGAAGGTTGGCTGTGGTGTTTTTGCCTCAGCATTAGTCTATAAACTGGAAGATCACTCGTTTAAGTCTTGCTTGAGCACATATAGGTGCTGTATGTCCTTGTATGTCCACACTTCACCCACTCAATAATGTGACACGTTAGAGAAGAACATACAGTTCTGTTTTCATCTGTTTTGCTGCTAAACCATAAAATGAGTGGCTTTACTTGCTTTCTATCCCTATCTTATCAACCATATTAACGTATTTTCTGCATAGATTTGAAGACTTGAATTTTGAATCTATAGCTTTAACTAACTCATGTAAATAGTGCAAGCCTGAGTGCTCCACAGCCTGTTTGAAAATAACAATGTCTGTGAGGGGGAGGCATTAGAGACACATTTGTGTACTGTCCGTTTGGTGTTCAGTTTGGCACATTGGAGCCAAGCAAAGTCTATTCACAAATTGCAATACTAAAATCAATGTATTATTTATGTAACATACATATACATTTACATACATACATGTGTTTTTCCCTTCTGCTTTCTGTGATTTAAATTCCCATAGAAATCATGTTGTGACACTATTTACTGGCTTGTGTTAACGTGTAAAGTGATGTAATTCCACTCTTGTCCTCCAGGTGGCGGCTCGCACAGAAAGCGGAGTGCGGCGTCGGACCCAGGCCATGTCGCGTTCATGTAGCAAACGTAAAAGCCGGTTCTCCTCCCTGTGGGGGCTGGACACTACCTCAAAGAAGAAAACTAAAGCTCATCCCACTATTAACCAGGTAGACACACTCTGCAGATACTGTCTGTTTATATGAGATGCTAGATACTGTAGGTCACATTACCCAGTGGCACAGCGGTCAGCAATCTAAATATGGTTCCATGTTCAATTCCAATGCTCTTTCTTTTGTTTTGTTTTGTTTTTTTGACAATATTTTGACCAGAAAGTTTAACTTGATCACACAAGGCAGTAGACGGGGGGACAAAGAGCTCTGTTGTCCCGGGCTCCAGGGTATTAAAGGCCCAGAATTGGACCCTCTTCCTATTTATATTATATTGGGCGACAGTAGCTCAGTGCAGAGGTCATTATAGAGCCACTGTCCACTGATCTGAAGGTTGGTGGTTTGAATCCCACTCTTGACATAAACATCATTGGTTGAGCGGTCAGATCCACTGACCCACACGCAGATGGCAGTGTGATTTTTAGCTCCCACAGATGACTTAAGTCACCTCGCCCCCAGTGTCTGTGTACACTAGTGTATGAATGTGTGTGTGAATGGGTGAGTGGTTCCTTGTTGTAAAGCGCTTTGAGTGTCCTGAAGGTAAAATCATGACCATTTACCATTTAGAAGGGGACTCATGTCAGACTTCTTGCCCTGGGCCCCCAAATTTTTGTTGACGGATCTGTTTAGACACCTAGATCTTATTTATTTTAGTCTAGTTTAAGAAGAAATGTCATGCTAATGAAGTCATCATAGTTTTAGTGAACCAGAAAATAACTTAAATATGGCATTGCTTCATGGGACACAGTACAGCTCCTCTACAGATGTGTTTTTGGATGTTTTATTTTGTTTGTATATGGTCTGGTTTGGGGCTTGGCTGACTTGGGGTTGAAAAATTAAACTTGGAGCTACTTTTCACTCGTTCCTTTCATTAAATTGTGTATTTTTTAATAACTTGACAACAATACCAATACTTTTAGTCAAGAAAACTGTGTACTTTTAGTTGCAGCTTTAGATGTTATAATTATGCTTTTTATTTCAGTTCAATTCAATCTTTATTAAGAACACGTAATATCTGGTTCATAATATAAAAAAAATAATTAATTAATTAATTAAAAATAATACAAAAAAATAGTAATAATAATATTTATTTTTATTTATTTTTTCAATCAGCAAAAATTACATCAAAGGCCCTGTTAGATCTTTTTCCCCCCATGTATTTGAGTAAAATGTGCCTTTTCCCAGTACATATCTATTGTATAAGCAGCTCTTGGGGTCAAAATGTCCTCTGCTTGCTGTCTGCATCTAATTTATGAAACGTTTTATTATCCAGTAATAAGGAGATGCACATTTGCTTGCTAGCTGTGCAATATGTCATCTATAAACCTATGAATTATTATCAAATTGTTGGTCTGAAAGTATGCAAAATTTGAGATTTATTAGAGATTTATGTCATCTGTCTAGAAGGGCATAAGGAGCTACTTAGTGTCTTCATTTTTTACATTCCATTCACTTTTTTTTTAGATATTTAAACCTCAACCAGGACATGTTTGGAAGATTTATGGATTTGGTGAGACTGAAAATAGAATACACCTCACCTCACCTTACCCTATCTTCTGTCTCCCCCTGCAGGTCTTTGCTGATGGCGACGAAACTGCAAAACCAACTGCAGAAGGTGTTTATATGGACCATACCAAGGAACATTCGGTAAGAAAAAAACAAATATAACTTGCATTCAAACAACAATCTGATTTCATATGTATTTATTTTCAGAAAAGTGAGGATGGCACATTGACAAGTCTTCCACGCCCCAGCACAGAGAGTGACCTGTGGGTGCCCGATCACCTCACTCCGTCCTGGGTGTGTCTGCCCAGCGACCAGCCCGTGCTGACCATCATCCAGCCCGGCGATTCTGCACTGTGCGTCCTGGAGAATATATGCAAGGTAACGCCGCATTACCTCTATAAAGATGCTTCCAATTTATTATGTAACGTATAGA